TGTGTGTACGAGTAGAAGCAGTCACAGGTGTACGCGGGATAAAAAAAGCTTCATCAGACTAGCAGCATTCTCATCCTGCCTGTAGCTGTTAATCTGTTCAGAGACAGCCTTAAGGCTATGAAGTTGAAATTAACGTTCCATTAGTATCTTTGAATGGTAACTAGTAATTTCGGAATGCTTTCAGAAGCACTGTCACGACGGTGTTTTTCGCGCGCCCGGCGCACGCCGACTGGTGCTATTTGCGATCAGTATCTGCAGATATCTGGCCGATGCCGCTTGTTATTCCGAAAACTGCAATGCCGGCTATAGCGCTTATTGCTTATGAGGCTGCTCCGTGCATGGATTTTCAGTTGCAGCAGCACAGGTCTAAAACCTTTTAGGTAATTTCTTGAACAAGTCGATTCTGCAAAGAGATGGATGTAGAGTGGATGGACACACTTGGAATGGATGGACGCTCTTAGACAAACATAGGCTAGTCTTCTTAATTTTTTTCTTGGTTTCGATTTGCTCGATCGAACAATTACGAGATTCCTTACCTTCTCTCGGGGAACGGTCGCTGGCTTAACATTAGGTGGCAGTTAACTTCCCGGCCAAGTGCTGAAGAACCATTCCGTCCGGAAGGGGCACTCGGGACCTAACGGGGGCACGTGCCCCTGTGCCCCTTACCTGCACCACTGCCGCGATCTGTTTGTGGCAGACACGTCACCACCGCCCTCCTCGGTGTGTTTCAGGGCGTCACTGCCTCCTGCAGTTAGCCAGCGAAAGCCACTGATCCCAGTCGCACATTTAAAATGCCTCCACTTCCTGCCGTCCGTTTCAGAGTATTACTGCTTCGTTATGTGTAGGGAGTCCACTATGTCCTCCAGTCTGCTCAGAAACTCGCCACCTCCTGGCTTCTGTGTCGGGATGTCTCTTTCACTAGGTCCTGAACCCTGTTTCAAGTCATCAATGTTAGGTCTGAGCCTTCTTCCATCTTGGTTCCGCCTTCTGACATTACTTCGATCTGTGCGTCATTTAATCACCATGAACCCTCCGCCGTACTGGCCGGCCACACGTGAAAACAACACTGCCAGCGGCCCTGCGGGTCGGACCAAGACCGCATGACCGCATGACCGCATGACCGGTGCGTATTCAGCAAAGCATCGGTCCGACTCGGTTCCCCTGGGCGGGCCGCCAAACTATTTCACTAAATCCACCAAACTATTCATGGGATAATTCATGCTGTTACATGCCCGGACATGATGTGGGCCAAGACAATTTAGTCACTTCATTAAATCACTCACTCCAGCTCTCTTCACAGTCTCACGCTGGCATGGCAGGCAGCACAAGTCCAGTTTTCACGTAATCTGGCACTACGTCCCGGCTGGATACTCTGACTAGCAGACATGCATCCTTCTTGGTGCGACAGAAGGCCAATTACGGTTGCCGGACAAGTTGGTCTGGTTTGATAGCCTGCTGTCCTACATGACTGCTGTCCAGCCCTGGATGCTTGCTCATGAACAGCCATCTCTTTTTGTAGGAAGATAAGAAAGTCGCCCATGTTGTTTCCCATCTCCAGTCTTAGCCACTGGCATCTCCAGGTCTCTGGAATCTTATCTAAGGTCGTGGGAATTAGCAGCTGTTTGAACATGTCCGAATTTACACTCACACACTCCAATCCTGGGGCAGCAGCAGTGGGACTATCAACTAGAGCACGTAGTGATAGTAGGCCTCTATGATTTGTTACTGGTGAGATATCCCTCGGCCTCCTCATCAGGGCCTCCCTCCTCCGGTCCTCCTGACAATATCTCTGTGAGTATCTTGATTGCAAGGCTGTAACCTGTCTTGCTCACTGGTATGCCTTCAGTCACTTTCAGTGCACCACCACAAAGCACATCTCTCAAATAAACGAACTTTTCTACACTTAAGTAATTCTTGTTTGTGTGAACCGACACCTCATAAAGCCCCCAAAACTCTGGCCACTTCATGAAGTTCCCATCAAACCTGGGCAGCGTGATGTCAAGCTTAACTTTCCCACCCTGAGCTTCCTTTGACCGTTTCAGGCAAGCCAATACCCGCTTGCTCTTAAATATTGCGGCAACAAATCATCAAGATGACTAGAATACACTTTCCTACATCCTCATCATGTGCACTTAACCGCCGTTGCATATCCTTCCACTCAGCCTCATGGCGCTCTGCATGGGCTACTGCTAGGGCAAAATTATCAACATCACAGTCACCTCTCAGGTGGATAAACTCTTTCAACTTATTGATGAGCTTCGTAGCCTTACCTCTGGCTGAAGTTCTCAGCTTCTCCGAAGCTTCGATGTGTTTTGTATCCTCTTCATGCATCTTCAGTCTTGAAGTGATAGGAAATCCACAGCAAAACACCAAAACTTATGATAAAGTTTGACTTCAACGACAGCAATAAGAGTAATGATGGGCAGCTCTCATATGCGGCCCGGATGACTGCATCACTACAGTCTGCATCACAGCTCTGCAGCATCATGGCAGCAACCACCACCAGACAGGGGTGGTCGCTCTGCAGCAGCATCTCACCAGGCAGCACTTGCTTATGCCGTACCCGCTGGAGCTGAGCCCTCCTATGCTGCTTTTGCTGCCCCTGCTGATGCCCTTACTGAACCCCTGTAGCATGCTTCGCTTGCTTTATACGCAGACCCAGCTCGGCCAGAACAGCTAGTCAGCCCACCTGGCAGTCAGCCAAACTTCGCCTCAGGTTCTCAGCAATGCAATGATGTGACCGCATGCGATAGCCCACGTTTTGTGCAAACGGCTCTGGTGGAGGCGTCTGCACCAAGAGGATCCTGTATGCTGAGGGTTCTGCTGGATGGTTGGTCTGATTCGTCTTGCGTCAGGGCATCAGTGATAAACTTACTTGGGCCACCCGTGGATGAGACGGGGACGTTTACCTGCATGGAGTTTCAAGAAAGAGGTGAGAAGCCACGTGGGTACCAGAAAGTGCTAATGCTTCTCAAGAGTCGTCATGGCGGAGACCCCCATGAGTTCGAATTTTGAAAGACTGACCGTCTGTGCTCTCAACCCACTCCCGCTCGGCCACCTTCAGTGTTCTTTAATCCGCGCCTGCTGCTGGTGGACGACTTCACAGGTGATCCTGTGGATGTGTTGATTGGAGCGGACCAACTCTACAGTGTCTTGTTGTGGGATCAGGTCTCGCTGGCGGTGAATCTCCGGGCCATAGAGACCGTGTTTGGCTACGTCATTCACGGAAAAAAGGGCGGTACCGTCACCCCACAGCCTGTCCGCTATGCCTACCGATGCTGTCGCCAGACGGAAAATGTCGAACAGACGGGGACCTTGGACTCAGTCGGGCTCACCGACCCTGTGCTGAAGGAGACCCCAACCTCCAGGCCGACATGGAACTAGGAGGACCACCGGTAGGAGATGGGCCTGTTGTGGACTTCCGATGAGCGCCCTGTCAGTAACCACCATGCTACGTCCAACCGCACCCGGCGCACGGAGGGCAGACTAAATCCAGGTCAACATTCGGAATATGGCTCTCACATAGACAGTCTGCTGCGGACCTCGGTCATCGGGACCTCTTCAAAGAAATTTACGGCTGGCTTTTACCTACCCCACAGAGGAATATGGCGAAACGGCGAGCTGAGAGTTGTGTATCATGGCTCTGCTAAGGATGCTTCAGGCAAGAGTCTGAATGAGTACCTAGACCCTGGTGTTAATCCGCTGCGACGCCTACCTGCCGTGGTGTTGAACTTTCGACGAGACGATGTGGCCACACAAGCCGACATAAAATCCGCTTTCCACCAGGCGCCTGCCATCGAAGAGGATCGAAAGTATATACAATTCATCTGGGCTAATCAATGTTTCAGGTTCAAACGTGCGCCATTTTGGTTGTCGTGCTTTTCATACATGCTGTTGCAGGCGATCTCCACTCACCTGGCGAAAAATGCGCCCCAGAACCAGAGCTTTGTGAAAAGTTAGATGCTGGTGTTTACACGGATGATGTCTGCACCACCTTCGCCACCAGAGCAGAGGCTGATCACAACATGAAGAAGATGGCAGACATCTTCTCAGAAGCAGGCATGAATCTCGACAAGCTGCGAACCTCTTGTGACAGTTCACCCAATGCAAAAGTTTTAGGACTGCTGTGGAGTGCCAGCACAGGCAGCCACGCAGTCTGCGTGCCCATCATGGACTGCCCAGTCACTAAACGACAGTTGTTAGCGGCGGTGTCGAAGCCGTTCGACCCTTTAGGCGTGCTATCACCATGGCTCGCCGTCGGCAGTTTTATTCCAGAGAAGCTGGAAAGAGACAAAACCAGCCGAGTGAGACGCCAGCCCCCCACAGGCACTTAAGGAGGAAATGAGAATGTGGTGTCGCGACACGCCCGCGCTCCTCTGAGCTCCACGGGTGATCCAACATTCCACGTGTTCCGCGATGCGTCGAGGAGAGCGTGCTGCTGTGCCGTAGTTCGGGTATCAGTGCTACCAAAAAAAGTGGCAGCAATCGCCACACAGACTACTAAAATTCCCTGCGCGGTGAACAACTGCTCAAAACAACGCTCCTATTACAACATACTCTCCACTCGAAATTACTCTAATTTCGAAAACTTTACAAAGTTATAGAAACGAGACAAAATAGTAGCAATACAACGGCATAATTATGCTTATCTTATTACATCGTGCAGAGCCAGAGACCTCGACAGCAAGGCCATACATGGGAATCACACGACGCATCAGATTTTCCGCGCTTCACTCCGGTGATGCCTACAAGCGGTGCGGCTTATTGAGCGGGCGCCGAGTGCGCCTGCCACGCAAGAACATCACAGCGACCCGAGGGTGCCCGGCGGGTCCTCGCAGTAGTGACACGACACGAGCCAACGGCCACCGACCTCGTGGCCCCTCGCCATGGACCAACATTACTTCATTCGGGTTGGGTAGACGGTAGGGTCGCCCCTCGGGGAGCTGCTCCAGCTCCGTAGCGCCTGTGGATATTCAGACCTCCAGCGCTTGATCAGGCGGTCACACACCCTCTTCCAATGCCTCCAGGCTCTATTGACCGGGGTTTCACTTAGCGTCGGACAGAGAACACCATCTATGGTGGTAACACCAAAGAGCAGATGTGCAGGAGTGAGCAAATCTTCACCATCTGCCTGGGTGAGAGGCCTGGGATTAAGGTAGAAGCCGAGCTCGTATAAAGTAGAAGACAGCTCATCATAGCTCAGATGAGACTGTTACAAGGTTAGTCGCAAAGCTGTCCTGGTAACACCAACTAACCATTCCCAAAATCCTCCCCACCATGAGGCAGCCTCGGGAATGAAACGCCGGAACACAGACAGCGGAAGACGGCCCAGGAAGGCGTGAAATGTGCGAGCATTGCCACTGAAAAGCAAGGAGTGCCAAGCAGATTAAAGAACCGCCTCAGAGCAATGATTAGATCAGTGGCAGCCTGAGAATGGACCAGTCCAAGATGGATGGCGCGTGATGTCGCGCACGTGATGAGCAGAACCCACACCTTCTTCGACCCACTGTCCACGTACAGCGGTCCAAAGTAGTCCACGCCGACTTTGGTAAATGGACGGCACGGCTCAGTCCTGAAACTTGGCAGGGCACCCTCTGGGGACCGATACGGTAGTCCTCTATACCGACGACATCGGCGACAGGTTTCGACGGCCCGTCGGACAGCCCGTCTACGTACCCTGCATTCGGCTGAGAGAAGAGACAGCGTGACACGCGTGCTTTGATGGAAGCATCGTCTATGCGCGTCGCCCACAGCCAACGTTGAATGCGCGCCAGGCTTGAAAATACATTATCTGTCGAGATGTGGACCGGGTTACGTGTGCGTGGAGGACGGCTGTCGGTCAGTGCTCGGAAATGAGGCAGCTGAACTTGCGACAGAGTTAATTGAAGTAACATAGTCTTCCGGATCGGGACTGAGACGGCCAGGGGTGAATGACCGGGGTAAAGGAATGCCAGATGCCTCACCGAAGGAATGCGGAGCCTCTTCGCCACGGGCCACATTTCTCCAGCGCGCAGAGTGAAATACCCCTAGTGCCCAGGTCACCTGGGTTGTCTGCTCCTCTGACATGCTGTCATTGTTCAAGACAGGACAGTTGCAGAATGGAGGTCACCCCGTTCAGCACGAAAACCTTCAGCGTCTTCTTGCTCTGTAGCCAGTACAGCACGTCCGTGGAATCTGTCCAGTAGATGATGTGTGGCTCCTTCGGGTGGAAGGCCATCTTGACAAAATTCATGAGTCTACAGCCGAGCACCGCTGCCATCAGCCGAGCCTAGGTATGACAAGGGCGGGATCGCTGGGAGTCAGTCGGACCTTTGCCATCAGAAGAAGCGATTTACTTCCCTCTACAACGTATACGGTACAGCAGCACACTCTCTTCGACGCACCGCAGAACACGTGGAGTGTTGGATCACCCCTGGAGCTCAGAGCAGCGCGGGGAAACCTCACGGATCGGTTTGCCGTGTCGCGACGCCACATTCTCACTTCCTCCTTAAGTGCCTGTGGGAGACTAGCGTCTCTCTCGGCTGACTTTGTCTCTTTCCAGGTTCACTGCAATAAAACTCTGCCGACGACGAACCATGGTGATAACACACCTAAAGTGTCGAACGGCTTCAACACCGCCGGTAACAGCTGTCGTTTGGTGGCTGGGCAGCCCATGATGGACACGCAGACTGCGAGGCCGTCTGTGCGGGTACTCCACAGCAATCCTAACACTTGCGCATGGGGTGAACTGTCACCAGAGGTTCGCAGCTTGTGGAGGTTCATGCCTGCTTCTGGGAAGATGTCTGCCGTCTTTTTCACGTTCTGGTCAGCCTTTGCTCTGGTGGCGAAGGTGAAACAGACATCATCCATGTAAACGCCAGTCTATAGCTTTTCCCAAAGCCCTGGCTCCGAGGCGCGGTATTTCGCCAGGTGAGTGGAGATCGTCTGTAACAGCACGTATGGAGAACACAAGACCCTGGCTCTGCCCTCTGACAGCAGCTTGATCTGTAAGTCATCTAATCACCATGAATTCTCCGCCGCATTGGCCGGCCACACGTGAAAACAACACTGCCTGCGGCCCTGCGGGTCGGACCATGACCGCTACGGTGCGTATTCAGCAAAGCATCGGCCCGACCCGGTTCCCTGGGCCGGGCCGCCGCGGCGTGTATCCATCAAACTATGGGAGCGCGCGCTGGACTCACAACAGCTTAAGGCGGAAAAGAACATTCCCCTCATGCGTTGAAAACAGGCTGAAAATTCTGGTATGGTTTGCATTATGAATGCAATGTTTCTTTTCTTCGTGCCAAACAGCACGCAGACCAAATGTCAAAAATACCGCACAACTGCTGTCGCTCAGAAAAAAATGCATGGGACAGATAAAAAGAAACCCACATCATGACGGAGGTTATAGAGCTCAATGCTCTACAGTTTCTCCATTATTTTGCAGCTTTCTACTAACGCGATCACTCCTAGCATCCTCAACAGACGTGTTACCTAAAACCACAACAGATGGACCCGCATCCGCCTTGACGGGCTCCACTAAATCATTTATGTCGCGCCGGTTGAACAGCTTTATGAAAGGCCTGTTGCGACGGAACATTTTACAGTCACCACGGCACTCACTGACTCGGTCCCCGCACAACAATGACGACATATGGGCTGGCAAAAAATGCACCACACGACCTCGTATTCATTTTAGAGATTTTCACTGGCGCCCGATCGCCGACTTTAAATTCAGCCGGTTTTGCACATGGCCGGCGATCAGACTTCACATTCACCTTCTCCTCGTACTGAAAGTCACTGTCTCGCACGTTTTCCGGATAAGATTCATTGGAACCACCGGTCACCAGACTGCACCGCACGGATGCCGTCTGGCGACCCCCGGCATCTCGGTGCGAACGGTCCTGCTGGACATGAGCTCAGCGGGGCTGACGGCCGTTGCAGGGCACGGCGTGCTGCGATACGCCATCAGGAACGTCCTTAGCACAGCCCACCAATCTCTGCAGTCTCTCCCCTCCGCCACAGCTGCTCGGGTCGTCATTACAAGAGTCCGGCCTTAACATTATGCTCCACCATTTGTCTGACGTGACAAAGGAGTGAACTAGTGATAGCGAATGCCTCCGATTTTACAATATTCCTTGAGGTCATGTGATGTTAAATTTCTGGCGTTGTCAGCAGTAAGTCTTAATGGAAAATCATGACACGCAAACACCCTCTCCGTTCGCTGTATGCTGTTTTCCGTGGTCCCACCTTCGAGCAGCGCTACCTGAACCCACCTGGAGTATTTATCCACGATCACGAAAAGATGCTCGCCAGTCCGAAAAGGCCTACAAGTGACCTGCTAGAGATCTTACCATGGTCTATTTGGTCGGTCTCCGGAAGTGAAGGGCTCCGGCGAGTTCCTTGGTGACACACCTTGACGAGTAAGACACGATTTCACTCGTCTTTTTGCATCAACTTCAATACCAAGCCATCACATTTTACTCGCAAATCTTTGTTTTGCACGGATGATGCCTTGGTGGTCATTATACGCAAGGTTGATAATCTGTATGCGAAGAGTAACTGGGATATCGGTTGTGCTGTCACGCAGAAAGTAGACCGGCACGCTCGCACCTTTCTTATCGAACCTGACTGTATGCTTTTGGACACTGCTGTCAGTTGCTGGCCGCCAAGCAGCTTAGGATTATCTGTATCTCACCATCTCTAGACGTGGCACTCTGGATCTTCTGCTACGACAACGTTGCAGGCACGAAATTCGCAGCGACGACGTGAGCGAACCTGCCTCCGCCGTGCTGCGACACCGGCTCCTGCGTCAATCCGCTGAGAGAGTCAGCAATGTTTTCCTTGCCAGGAACATAGGCCACTCTAAACTTGTACGGCTGGTGATGCAGGAGTTTTCTTTTTCAATTCAGGCTGTAGACTTTGACTCGAGGAATAAACTGCCTGCAGGGGCTTGTGTTCAGGGACCACAGGGGTGAAAACTTCTAACTTATCGTTTATGATCGGTAATAAAAATGGACACATTTGCGAACTAATTGGTGACATTATTGCGCAAATGGAAACAAATTTCAACGGACCGGACCATATCACCACAGTGAATAGACTATCTCAGTCAGACGAAACTCAAACCTTATGATTTGTATTTAATGGCTAAAGTTTGCAGAGTGAGCTTGTGTGGAGCATGTGTCGAGACATTGCTGCTTCTCTGAATGTGGAAGTTGAGCCACGACACGATGCCAAACACAGTAGCTTTAATCAGGATAGCTTTTAGCGGTTCACAGACATCTACTCTAAACAATACTGGATCAATACTAACGTCACAGATGAGTGGTGACACAGTGTTTTTCCGATGGCCCTCAGATCAGTGCCTTTTACAGATGTTTTAGCCAAAATTCACTTAACATATTACGCAGCTTAAAATACCAAATGACTAGGTTTACTACCAGCCGTAAGAATAGTGCCTGGCCGCAGCATCTTGCGGCCAATGTGATCTTTCTGCTACGTGGCATTTTAAAGCCTCGTGCCATTTGAGACAGATAGATTCAAGTGCTACGTGGCTAATCGTCAGTTTCTTTAGGACGCTATGCGGCTCTTTAAAGGATCTTTGTGGAGACGTGTCTGCTATTAGTGTTGAAAAGCCCCCTCCGACCCAGGGGGCTTGTTGTTTGTGGATGCTCACACTGCAGCTTCAGAAATAAACGGAGGACGTTGGAGTGACACATTGCAAGGATTCATCCGGGGCTTCGTGCCGTTAAGAGGAGTAGTGGCTTTGATTTAAGAGGCCGAGTTTCGCCGGTGAAGGCTTCTTGAACTGGTGTTGCACCCGTCGCACCGAAAATTCAGCGTACTGACCGGTTGACAAGCATGTCATAATTTGGTCTTTATTTTCATTTACTGTATTTGGAGCTAGATAAAGGCGCAAAAGCTGTTAAGAAATCGCTTTCGCACCTGCTGATGCCAACAGTACATGGGTGTCGCATTCGCAGGGATGCAATTTTGCAAAGTACATGGGGGTGAGAGAGGGTGCGGGACAAAAACAAATGGATGAGACTGCCCCCGTAATAAAATAAACATACATTATTTCTCAGATTTGACCCAACTTTCCTCTCAGAGTTCGCAGCAGAAGCGTGGTTTTCTCAAAATCAGTTGGGGATGCATGGGCTGGGCCCTAAAAGAAATGACTCGTAAAAAGTGATGAATAAAACAATGATGACTAAAATAGGATTACTACATCTTTGGTAAGGAGACACAAACCCCACCCCGCAAATGAAAAGGAAACTGCACCCTTTAGGCGGGTTTTGTTACATATCCCTGTATCAGATAATTGCCTTACATTAGCGTCGGCTATCATTCAGTATTCGATGAACTGCTTCAGGTCATCCAGTTCAACAGCTACTCTGGAACAAAACCCAAACAACAAGTGATGATTTTGAGAGCAGACTACCATGGACACCTGACAGTGACGACTTTCAAAGAAGCTTAAACCATGGACACGTGGCAGCGTTTGCTTGATGCGAGTCTGTCTACATAGTTACACACACCCATCCCTCAACATCATCCCTCAACGATCAAGTATTTTGTCATCCAACCCAACAGCCTTCCTAATACCAGGTTTATTTACATCGGGATGCAGCAACAATAAACTTTTGACGGCTGTTGGCCAGGATTCATGCCACATCCTGTCGTGTTTTTCAGTGCATTTTCTAAGCCGTTTTCTTAATGATAACATGGATTTATGGACGTATTCTGTATTTACACTCCTTACGTGCATGCATTCAATGGAGGTATTGGAACGTTTCAGAACAGTGAGGTACCCCAATTTTTTAAAGAAACTTTGTTTCGTTTCCACGAAGACGGCAATGAAAAACCATGATTTATCCTTTTCACCACCCCCTCTCTCTCCCTCATTCCCTCTCTCCCCCAATTCCCATCTCTTTCTCTTTTTTCGAGCACATCACAAATGTCTACACGAGCCGCTCGACGCTGCTGGTACCTCAATGGGTACCTCACGCAAACGAACACGCACTTCATCTCGTCGCCAATAACATCGATACCCTACCTCGTAAACGCTTCTCAGCATATTAAAGCCCACAGCACGAGCGGCATCGCTTGAACATGGCCAGATGACCTCACTGACACAATATTAAACAATACTTGGCGCGTCATCGCTGCTCCAACATGGCCGCTTCAATTGCCGCTCCAACATGGCCGCTTGAACCGGCCGCTCCGCCTGCCCCCCGCTGGACGGCCCGGTCGTCCACGCCGAGCGGCGGCTGGCTGCATCCGGCGGCGTCTCCTGCGGCGGCCGGCGCCTGGTGTCCCTCCATCGGCCCGTCGTGACCGGTCAGGGAAGACCGCCGTCGGCGTCGCCGGGTCACTAGACACGGGATTGGCAGCCACGCCTGGTCACTGCGGAGGTACGGTGCGAGCAGCGTCACGACACCGGTCGCCGTGCACGGCAGCCGTCGACCGGTCGCTGGACTGGTTAGTTGGGTTTTCGAGTGCTGGGAGTATATGGTTATACATCAGGTGCGGGTGCAGACCGGTGGGAGTGAGTGGCCGGGCCCTCACTCCACAGTGCGAACAGTGTTAAAAAGTCACAGTCACATAGAGGGACGCGAATTATGCTGCACTCTACCATATCTCGCCCCTTCCCCCCCCCCCCCCCCTCCCCTCCCTCAAGTGTCCATCGCTTGGTGGCGAGAAAGCGACCATTTCACGAACACCGCTGCTCCGCAGGGAGCCAGGGCGAGTGAGGTTCTTCATCGCTCAGTACAAGTTGCCTGTGCTGCCATTCCGTGCCTTGGAGCTAGAGCACAAATACTTTTGGCGAAAACCTGCTGAAAAACTAATTCCCATCTAAACAAGATGAAAAAGACTAGAGACAGTCTATCTTGATTAGTGCGGTAAATTGAGTTACAGACACTCCATCTGGTAGGCAGTTTTCCAATATTTATTCTTACCAAAACCGTACCTCGGAAAGTGACCACATGTGTACCGCTGGCACCACACTAACACCTGGTGGCGTTGTTACAAGTGATTTTCGTAATGTAAATTCGATTGCCGCAAACACTTACCATTAACCATTTCATTGCTACTTTTTGAGGGGTTATCAAGTTACGATCAATATTGGCATATGCATTATACCTGTCTGTATCTGTACCTGTATCTGTGAGATTGACATTTGTATATAAATCAAACGCACCAAAGAGCGGAGCCGGCAAAGACTACCGTGAAATGACGGAAGAACCGAGAAACGTTTGACCTATTCCTTACAATCTTGTTAAATTCATCTGTCAAGCTGTCAATGTAGAATCGCCTGAATATCATTGGAAAGCCCATTATTGATGTTTATGCACTCAAGCCGGTAGCACCTCAGCATAAGCTTCGTGCGATGTCATGCTTCAGATTTCATAAATGATTTTACAGCAACTTCCTGTCATGGCAACACAACTGTCTGCATGTCCAATGCGTGGCTGAACAAGAAGATTGTTGAGCGCACTTACCTGCCTCGAAATCATGAGCAAATCTCTTAAAACGTGTCATCTTACCTCGTATCACTGCTATGTACCAAGACTACGTCACTACTAAGTGAGTTCGCTTGCATCTGTCATCTGCTCCCAAGCTCGTTTCCAGGCGATTGAAACTTTTTGGAGCCCACAATCAAAAGCACAGGCAGGGGGCGAAGGGGGCATTCCCTTTCTCTTTGGTTTCGAGAGGCTCGAAGGGCCCACGGACTTAAAAGGCTGGCCTGAGGTCGCATTGAGGCTCCATTGACTCAGGGCTCCTGGGTCAATGAGGAGCCGCCACCCGTGTTCGTTCGGGATCCACCTTTCCTGACAGGGGGCCCTGTCGTGGCAAGGGGCCCTTAGTCGGCCAGGAGCAGTGTCCGAAGGGGCCCGAGGACGGGCACGAAAGGTCCCTCGGGTGGGGGCGGGGGGGGGGGCAAAGCTCGAAGGGCTAGCTGTAGGTCACAATAAGGATCCTGGCTCTACAATCGATGTTTATTACACAGGGTTTGCAATTACTCTGCTGGGCCCCGACAAAGTCCGGAAAAGGCCTGATTGATGTCGGTTTAGAGGGAGGGCAATGAATCATCGCAAAATGAATAGCGACGGCGACTATCCCATGCAGACATACTATGTCCGGTTCGTTCAGTTCATGGACTTTCTATATGCGAGCAGAATCGCATTCTTCGGTTGCTTCTGGCTTCCATGTCAGTCCAAGACGGAAACAAGCAAAAACTAACCAGCATAGTCGATCTCCTCAAATTCAAGTAGGACGAATCCGGTGATTCCTTGTGTTTTTTTTTACCAACAGGTGGTCTTTCGTCAACCCTGGTGCCCCCCCCCCTCACATACACCAAGACCCTGACTGTGCCCCTCCTGCTGCCACATTCCCTGTTGGACTGAAATATATTCCTGTTGCTCCCATCATCTTGGCCACGGGTAAACATGCTGATGATAGCGATCTTTGACTCATACGACTCATCAGAGGTCGGATACCTATGTGTGTGTGTGACACTTGGTCATCCACTCTCCTTTCACCTGTCATCGAAGATAGTGAAATCTCCCAGCACAGGCGCTACCTTACTCCGTTTAAATGGAATCTGTAGGATTTGGTTCGCGTAGAAGGCATAGACGTGATATGGTCCGATCCGACTTAACTTCCAAATTCAACCGTTTGGATCGCCTTAAAATTAATCGTGTAAGTTGTACGTTACCGACAGTGATCTCTACTACCAGATTGGAGATCACTATGATCTCCAACTGGTGCTTTAGCTCGCTAGTTTGCGGATTGGGCAATGCTTGATAACCTCATGGCGGAGAGGGAGGAGAAGCGATCGAGGCAAGTGGGGGTTTCTTATAGTCACTATCAAATTTAAGAACACTCCGGCTTGATATTAAAAAGCGCATGTCTATCTAAGACTGCACGTAGTGACAACCACATTAGTTCTATGATATAAAATTCATTCTATGACCGCTTGACGTTCTCGTAGACATGAAGGCCGATTTCTATACGATTTTTAGATGTGAGTTTTGAGCCCTGTCACCAGAATGGATAGTTTCCACCCCAGTAGTACGGCGTGCTCGTCCAGGCAGCTCGTTCCACGTGCCCCACACCCCTGCCCGGCGGAGCACCCACCGTCCGAAGTCAGCCGCCTCGGCGACCGTGGTGGGCAGGTCGCGTCCACTCGTCTCCGGCAGGAAGGCCGTCATGCCGCCCGCCAGCAGGCCGCACACCCCGAAAATACAGAGCGGCAGCGTGGCCGTGTCGTCGCCCTGGCCACCCAGGTCAGGTCAGGGCAGGTCAGGCTACACAGCCGTGCCCTCGCCATTCGGCGGGCGCGAGCAAGTGGGTCCCGCCGGCCGCCTCACGGGCTTGTGGCGTGTCTCGTTCTGGTCGCCGCCGGGCGGACGGCGGGCGGGGTAACGACAGCTCTACCCGGCTGCCCGTGGCGTGTCGTGACGGGTGCTGGCAGAGTGTGACCGTAACGCGCGCCGGAAGAACCGATAACTGCGAGTCCACAGCAGCTTGCCTGGCATGGCGATGGGCTACACGCCACCTGCCACCGCGCGGGAAGTCGCGGGGAAAACCTGATACAATATGCCAGTGATGACCGTTCCAAAGATAACGACGACATAGAAGGAAAACCACCTCCAGTTGCCTCGCAAGTCGACAACGTTATACAGCCAGACAGCGTGCTACACGCTCGCAACATCAGCGTTATTATGAGACACTTATTATTTTATATAGAAACACGTTATTATTAGCGTTATTTGTCATCTTGGCTGCTGAACGCCCAGCTTCTGTAGTTACCAGATCGGCGATGACCGGTGCGAGCACGGAGCCGATTCTTCCGCTGGCTGAGGCCACGCCCACGCCCATCACACGCACTCCGTTTGGGTACAGCTCCGCCGTGTACAGGTACAGGAGCGAGAACGCTGACGCCGCGCCGAATTTGCCCAGCAGAGCCAAGGTCGTCGTCAGCCACTCCAGTTCTGAATTGAACCCAAGATAAGATATGTAACACGTTCTCGGGAGCTGACAGACAACACGCACTCGTCTTGATTGCAAGCACCAACGCATCGCGTCCAATGTAAACAGATCTTTCGGCGACTGATATCCGATAAACTGAAGTTGTGTTGTGTCGGGGCAGGCACTCACGGTGTGCGCGAACTGGCCGAGAAGACAGCCGCGCTCGTGTGATTTGTTTGATTTACCGGCCGTCCCGTGTTTGACTCGTGTGGGTACACCGCCTACATTTGACGATGTGACCTTGGAACATACTTTGCAGCATTTGACCGTACAGCAGCATTGCAGGAACTCGTTTACTCAGCCAAAGAGGTGGCGGATGGCAGATCCGACTGGGATGGCACCTTTCTCCACACATAGCACAAATTCAGTCTTCAGTTTCGTTCATTCCCCCACCAATGAGATGAGTCGCCGTTGGGAAAAAGATTCCAATGCATCAGTGAGCATTATGGAAAAAGACCCATGAATCATCGCCGGAAAGAACCAGCTTGTTACTTGATCCATCGCTACGCAAGCAACAATGACACAAAGATCACCGTTTGGGAGGAACGTGCTGTACACAGCATGGGAGATAGGTACCCAACTTATAGCTCCTCTTGTCGGCACATGCCGCACCTTGTCAGGGAAGAACGCTGCGCATGACTCAGTGTTAACAACGGGCCGGCGCATGACTCACCGTTGGCCGGCACGAGTCCTGCGCAGATGGTGCCCAGTCCGCTTAACAGGAAGGCGCCACCTATCACCAGCTTTCGACCCAGTCTGAAATGGTCCAGCCAAGCCGTATTAAAAGCACATGTGTTCCACGGTTGCCGCATCTCCTACTCTGTTTATACTGTTTTACTAAGCGGACGTACCCGGTATAGAGCCTTCCCCAACCGCACGGGAAAATTAACTGATTGGCGCACTTGCCAGCACGTGAAAACACCTCACAAATAGGCACATAGTACTATGCGTGCATGGTCGACACTTCTTTGCTTCTGATGGAGGCACGTTTCTTTCGTAACGTTTCTCAGCTGCATCTCTGGCGTGAAGTTTACGACGTTGCCTAGGAAGAGTTGCCCTAAAACTGCGACATGGGACTTACGGATTAATGGTGAGTGCGCAGAACACGTACGACGGTATTTCGATTAGCATCGTGAGGATGAAGTTGGTGTAAACGTCCCCTCCCAGGTCAGTGGACACCATGCCGATGCCGTAGTAGACCATCGCCACCACCAGCCTGGCGACAGCTTCGAGGCGTCAGGTGCGAACGGCATTGGACCGGGGTCCGCACGTGACGTCGAGAGCAGCGTGTCCGCAGACACAGATACGTAGCCCTTCGTCGACGCGATCATACAGACGCGTAACTCTGTGACGTGGTGCTGATGGCATCCAGGACAGGTGGAAACACTTTGCCATTCACTCAGGAATCGCGTTTTCATTATGACGTCACACAAAATATCCCGGACAGTCACAGAGAGTGCGGTGATCTGAACAGGCGATAAGCGTGGTTCTCTCAGTGTTGATGCTTACCACTGAAAAGCCAGGATGAACGCTCGCTTTAGGAGGACAGGTGACTTAATCACGCTAATGAAGCTTTCATTGATGGCTTGGGGCTCTTGGAGTGACCCACCGCTCCTCTCCTGTAGAAATTGTAGGTGACTGTTACCATGTTAGCCTAACACGCGCCCCGGGTGGCCGGTTGGATACGCTCCCTTCGGGAAGTGGCCAGTTTAACGCCGCTAAGATCTTAAGAACCAGGAGATCTAGATACATCAAATTCACAGGATGTATTGGCCTCCACGTGAACTCACTTGAGTCAAAGTTTGGAGCTTCTAGATCATGATCTTCGGGTTAAATAAAGTCAAACAAATTAAAACTCCAGGTTCGTCTACAAAGTGCCTCCAAAATCTACATATATGTTCTCAACAAAACAAAATCACGTGCTCATTTAAGGTCAGTGACCCTGTTTGACATTTCGAGGGTCACGGTGACAAAAATCATGCAAGATTGCTTTGAGTTTTGCATTTGAATAAGTGATAAATGTTACGCTAAGCATTAGCGTGATTATTTTTTTTTTAAATTTCGACCAGGTTCATTTCAGGTCAGTGGTGTTTTCTGACCTTTTACAAGTCCATGGAAGATGTATAGTGCAGTTTATGTTGTCAATGAATTCAGGATAAGCACAAGAAACCGCCTCATGCAGCAAGCCCAATAATAATAAAACACACTGGCTTTGACCTTGGTCTGACTTTCATACCCGAGCCTAGGCCAATGGAATTTACAGATTCAATTGTGGTGTTGCCTAAAAAAGCATCTCAGAGAGGTATGGCTTCGTCAAAATTCCTTTGTTGCATCAGATAAAGATCAGATATACGATTCCCTAGAAATAAACTTTGCTCAATCTATGACCTGACTTTGATCTGTCGTATGCCACCATGCTTACAAGGTACATCTAAGTTTGGATACCAAACGATCCGCTAATCAATTACCCACAGCTACGAAAAGTTTGGCGCTGTTACGCTCGAAAACCATTCCGGAAAACCTCTGGGGGGTCAAATTTATCCCCTACCCAAGCGCGTGTTCAATGGCATCTACACACCTACAGAGAATATGTCAAAGGACAGCTGATAACACAAGAATACTGGAACAGGCGTAATAACGTAAGCTTGCAGTGCATTTGTGAGGAACGGTATTCAGCTAGAAAAGACAGAAGTAATAGCGTTTTTGTCGGAGAAAAAACCAGGAGAATGGAGATAGACATGGGTTGATATTTCGGCAACATACCTTAATCGAAACAACAGAAGAAGAAAAGAAAGAAACCTTTGCTTATATTTCGATAAATGCATGTTGCCAAAATATAAACCTGACTTTATCTCCATTCTCCTGGTTTTTCTCGGAGGAATAAGGCTGTTACTACTGTCTTCTCTATGCAGACAGGCATAACTCAATTTCCACATTCACCACAATTTTTATAGCAGCATAAAAAATGTTACTTGGAATCCAAATCCTTGCCACGCGACTTTGTGATGTACCAGTGGGCGTACTTGTGAACCAAACTATTGCGGGGTCAGGAGAACAGTGATCGCCTGCTTGGTACAGTAGCAGACTGGAATGTGAAGCCGGAAACTCTGCCATTTGATCAGAATTGGGCAGGATGAAACATCATCACGAATGTAAGGCCAGGAGATAATGAGCCAGCTCGGCGTCCGCAAGACATTATATATATATATATATATATATATATATATATATATATATGTAATGGCGTGGAGAATTTAACGTACTTACCCTTTATTCACCATCACAAGTATCGCACGTATGAATGTTTTCTACCCTGGAGTTAAGTAGACGTTCGTCACGTGGGCTTTGCTACGCCACGTTGAGTGCCGCGCTGCTTCAGTCCTCATCGAATTAGCGAGACCCAAAAGCCCTCTGAGGTTTTCCTCAATGTTTTTAACAAATGGAAGTCTTGAAAAAAGTTGGAGGGGATGTACCGCACTCGAAGATATTCAGGCAAGCGTCAGATAGAAAGAAATAAGCTCACTTCTAACCACTGACTTACCTTAGAGTGTTGAAGACTGCTTTAGACAACAAAATTTTGCTATTTAGTAAACGTGTTGATCAATGCATCATCGCCTGCTGATGTCAAGGAACGCTTCATGGCGTCATTTTGCTGCCAGAATAGTCGTGTCAGAATTGCAGACGGGCTGACTCACTTGTAGTGCTTCAACTTGCCGAGAGGTGACGGTGCGTTACTGAAGTCTGTTTGTAGAACTGAATATCGTTATGTGGTCGTGGTTTGCCTCTCCTTGTGGTGCCCTCGCATATTTGTCCGTGATTCTATATTGCCAACTTGCACTCCCATACACATCTATGATATTTTTCTTAACACGCTCCCGGGTGGCCGGCTAGATGCTCATTTCGCTCCGGTACGGAGTCAACTTGAGCCCCCCCCCTTGAGATCTTGGGAACTAAGAGAGCTAGAGACACCAAATGTACGGGGTTGTTGACCTGTACGTGAACTCACTCAAGTACAAGTTTAAGATCCTTAGGTCTTGACCCTCCTGTCAAATAAGGTCAGACAATGTCAAATTCCAGGTTGGTCTCCAAAGTCTCCCAAGAACCTAGCTGACTGTTTCTAGGCAAAAGGTCACATGCTCAGTCAATGTCAGTGACCTTGTTTGGCCTTTTGAAGATCAAAGTGACCAAAATCATACAAGACTACACTGAGTTTTGCATTTTAATAATCGACACGGGTTACGCTGGGCAGTATGTTTCTAAAAAATTCTGACCTGGGTCATTTCAAGTCAATTACCTATTTTAACCTCTAACAAGCCCACGGAAGATGTAAAATGCACTTCCTGCTATCAATAAAGTTTAAATGGGCACCAGAACCCGCACAGCAAGCCCTAGAGTAATAAAACAGGCTAGTTTTGACCGTGGCCTGACCTTTATTCCTGACATTAGCTCAACGCTATTTGCTCATTCAACATTTGTGTTGCCTAAGAAAGCATCTCAGGGATGTATGGCTTCGTCTAACACTCCGTTGTCGCATCAGATTGAACGATTCCCTAGAAAATACTTCGCCAAAAACCATGGTCTGACTTTGACCTGTCTTAGGTCAACGACCTTACAAGGTACATCTTAGTTGTTGATTACAAACGATCCGCTGTTTAATTGTCTACAGCTAGGCAAAATTTGGGGTGGCTGCGCCGCACCGTTCGGAACCCATTCTGGAAAGCCTTTTGGAGAGGGTGAATTTGACCGCCACCCAAGAGCGTGTTAAGGGGAATGCCCTACTTTTGAAGGCATTGAAGTAAGCATGAAATGCAATGCAGTAAGCTCACATATAACTATTGGCATGCTTAAGTGGAAAAGGCTGCCCGAGACAACATAATTTCTCTGTTTAGTAAATACGCTCCTCAACACGTCATTGTTTGATTATGCTATCATACCAAGCAGAATACTGAATGAGACCCAATTGGAAGCGGCTGTATCTGGAAGTCGGACTCACGAACGCCAGATATGAACGACTCAACCATTCTGTTTGCTTTGGCCTTGACCGCCAAATGGCCAATAGAATGGCATGATTTCAATGACGTTATTATGGCGTCATGAATGCCTGTGCGGCTTTGAAATAGTCTCCCCGAAATAGCCTGCACACATTTGCGGACGTGAGCTCAGAATCTAGAGGGGATTAGGGCTTGATAAGGGCAGGGCTGTGAACTGCACCAAATGATCTTTAACGTGGCCATTTCATTACAAATTTCTACACAAATGTGGAAAACTTCCTTCAAGTTATTCCATTCAAGTTTGATTTCCGTCCTAGGTCGTTCCACTGCCTAACCTCCCGTATCATGCGGCATAAAACGGACTGAGGTTTGATGCTTACGATGAACGCAGTACATTAGTTGAGGGCAAACTGAAGTTGCTAGAAATGGTGCTGGCGCCAGCACCATTTCTGGTGCTCACGCCAGCTCGGATAACTCGATGACCATACCTTGACCTTGAGGACCACATGACCAATTGGGTGGCACTATTCGAGTGACGTTACTATGGCGTCATGCATGCCTGGATGACCTTGAAGTAGTCTGCACGAAATGGTTTTCACAAGTTTGCTGACGTTCTGCTCAGAAACCAGAGGCGGCTTAAATCGTTAAAAGCTGTGAAGTGCATTGCATGGTCTTCAAAAGATCTATTTTAGTCCAGAACCCCATACAGATGTGAAACACTGTAAACAGCCTCTTTAAAATACCAAGTGAAAAGGCTAGAAGACTGAAAAAGCTCTCGGTACCTGGGTTCTCAACATTGGGTGGCAACGTCAAATGAGAACTTGAAAGACTTGCCTTCCATAGGCAACCGTTCAGTCGAAGTCATGCCTGTCACATTTCACGTTCCGCTGTATGATAAGGTAGGCTTTGTCACTGCATCTCACCGAGCCCAAGGTAATGCAAACAGTTACAAACAGTATAAATTTAGCTATGCCGGGTCATTCAAGACCCCATTTGTTCAAATGTGTCACGTAGACTAAGCCAAACAGAAATATTATACAGACCGTGTGCACCACTGACCAATGCATGATGCAGCATCACGATCGGTACCCAGAGCTATTCGTTTTATCGTCGTATCATGCCTACTTCCTGAGATAACGAGATAATCTATAAACACAAAATTTGATATACATGACCTGATCTGGCACATCACGGAACACACCACTTGAAGAGTTCCTGTCTCTATATGGCCTGGTGTAACAAAGGCTATGCAAACCGCACTTTCCACTATGCATAGATGCACAGATCAGAAGTAAGAAAAGGGCTTAAGCTTTCATTGATCAAGTAATTGAGAATGAGTTAAAAGTTCTTAGATTCATTTAGACATTTGATTTACCGAGAGTCGCTGATTAACGGACATTGTAGAGCTAGATAACGATTATATTGACGCTACTCAATGCTTTGAGCTGAGATCATGCTCAATAGTAGGTGATCTCATGTCAAGAGAGGATGATGCTCAAAAAGGGATTATCTCAAGGGGATGATGCTTACCCGATAACGTCCCATCGCTGTTTAGCACAACATCCTGGTACATAAAAGGTCGTTGGCTCAACTTGAGAATTTTAAACTCATAATGCCGAAAACCAGGAGCTGAATTCCTCTCTAGGTTTTATCAGTTGAATAATTGATTTGTTACACCTTGACACTTATTGATTGGCTCAAGAGTACCTTTCTCTAGCATCTTTCAAAGTGACCGGGCGAGGGAACAAAGAAAGTCCGAGGGCTGGAAAAGGTGAGGAAAATGTTCTTCCGATAAAAGATAATCTGCGCAAGGGGCGAAGTTTTGTAAAATGAAATGGTGAGGCTGCGCAGGAAAACATTGCTAAACTAAACGTGAGCCGAAAGGAACTAAACAATGGGTGTTTGTTTTCACGATTCTACCACACCCTTTCAAAACTGCGAGGCTACAACCCTCTCAATAAATAAGGCAACTACACCACCACAGCTGTGCATGAGGTGTCTTGCTTTACTGCCCGACATCGCTATAACGTATTGAGCTCAAAAAAAAATATCCCGCAGTTTTTGGCAACGAACGGCTGTGACCTGTTCAGGATATCGTCCTTTTGGGAACATTACGGCTGTTGCCGTTCACTCATTACGGCTGTTGTATTTTTTCCGCCACGGGCGCAGCAAGAGCTATCCCCCCGCGCTAAGGTCCGCATTTTCACGTCTTCACTGCATAGAAACGACTCCTTGAATCCACTGACATCGAGTGCTTAACATGGGTGTACACGGGGTTTTGTGTTGGAGAGGCCTTAAAGAAAGCTTTTCACTGAAATCCAAGTTCAGCATACCGAAGAGAAGCGAAGTTTATTGCATGACGTTATACAACCTCGAGTGTTCTTGATCTACTTATTTGCACGTGTCTTCTCCAAATGGTTTTGAGGTAAGCATTTAGTCATGCTCATATTGATGCATACCAAGAATTGACCAGGGAGAGGCACGTGCCCCTGTGTTCACTATGCGAGTACGTCCCTGGTGCTCACTGAGCTCCATTCTCTTTGCCCTTAAGAAAATCCTAGCTGCCGCACTGTAGACACTTGCACGCAACAGACGCGGGAAGCCTTCAAAACGTGCACCTTGTCCGTGCACTGAGCAAAACGTACATGCATGAACACCGCTCTTCCAAAGCATATAATTACCTTCATGACCAGCTCTTCAGGAAAAGGTTTTCCATTCCACTTGGCCACGTTTCTTAGCACCTTCTCGGCCTTGTCCTTCCGGCCGACTGCCATCAGCCACCGTGGTGACTCGGGAAGAAAGCTGAAACGTCCAGTTTCACCAGTCAGCTGAGGCATAATCGATGTCTTTGTTGAAAGCTGAGCCCGAGTGCTGGTATCTTGAGGCTGAGTCCGAGTCTGTCGCATGCTTTTGAATCGCATTAGTTTAGTTTTGAGCCGTGGTGAATACGTGCAGTTTGTACCTGAGTCGCAGCTAGTTTAGAAGTGCACTAATTTGAGCCCGGGTCTGAGTACTGGTGTCTCGACTATGAGTTCAATGAGCCCAGAGGTCTGAAGGCACACTAAAACTCCTACTCTATGAGGGGTGTTCTTGGCACGGGTATTGCATTCAAAGAATGGGACGTTGCTCAATTGCACCCCTGATTTTGGAAAATGTCTCACTTAAAGGCAAAACAATTCAAAACCGAACCGACAAATCACCAGAGCTAAAGGAATACAAAATCATCAAAGAGCAATCAACGTAATCGACTTGTGAAGGTCATTGTGTTGATCACCTTATGATTTTCAGTTTGAATCACACAAGGACTGCGTTTCAAGACCTCGTTAGAGAGCCTGAGCGTGACTGAGACTGATATGCTGAGCGATCGATCTTTAGTCGTATGCGTGGAAAGTGGCGGCATTTGCTCCTGATCGGAATCGGGCCACCTTTTCCAGTGGCCAGTCTTTATGCTGCAACATTTCTACGACGACGTACTGCGTACTGTGGCACTTTGGTTTGACCGCGGATCCAGTGAAATCTAGTGTTTACTAACGCCATTTAAGTGCGTTAGGCGTTGGACTAGTGCTTTAAGCGTTATGCCGCAGTGACCCGAAAAAAAGAACATGACAATGTTATATCTCTGCTGTTCTGCACTCTTTAGGGCGAACAACAGCCGGATCATTGGAGCATCAATTTTTATCTTGGTGTCGATAACTAGTATCAATTCACCTTTACACTCGATCCCTTCGACTCGCCCCGGACAGCTCTCCGGCGCCATCCTCGTCAGACCGGGGTGAGATGTGTTCCAGCCCGATCCCCAGGCACCCGCGCAGAGAACGGGCAAAAACAAAAGCAGTCACGGGAAGCTCTTTCCGAAAGATGATGGTAGGAACCAGCGTGCCCTATTTCATATTAATTCTGAGGCCACATACCCCATGAAATGGCAAAATAAATAGATGAATATCCGGATGAAGTCCTGAAGATATATTAAGTAAGTATAAGTGACTTAGTGAGGCGAAATGGTTGCACTATTCAACATCTCTTTTAATCGTGGACGACCTTGTCCATATCAGCGGCCATTTTACCAGTCAGAATCTTAAGATTGGCTGCCTGCGAAGGGCAAGATACGGACTGATTCATCCAGGCCGAGAATTCGGGTACGTTACTCTGAACATGTCCATTGTCCGGCAACAATTTGCGCTTACGTTGCGACGTATGACGTCTAGAACATGTTCCCATCTGTGTACGTGTAAATTCGGTTTAAATGAAATGCTTACAGCCCGACTTCGCCCATCTCTCTAACGCTGGTAGAAACATGAGTAAGTGATAGCAATATCTTACAACCAATAGGGGCAGAAGAGAACAATTGGCACCGAGTAGATCAGCTGCAGCGATTTCCAATCCTTGACGAAGATGGGGAACACTCCAGTCAGCGCCTCTCCGACGGCGAAGAAGGCATTAATGATGATGCCACAGAACGCGCGGGCATCGATGGAAGTCAGCTCCATACCTGTGGGAAACGCACGGCTGTGAAACGGTCACACTACGCGCATGGTACCAACCAGCTGGCATTTAACGTTTAACAGAAACAGCGGCCAGCAAACAACAACTTAACCGTCATGGTTGCATGCCGAAGACGGGGCCGCTCAACTCGCGCCGACGTCCAAGCGTCGCCGAAAATTTTCAGTCCATACAAACAACACGTATAATCCCGGAGAATCTGTTTAATTCTGCATGACAGGTCTCCGGTATTTCTGGAGTACAGTTCATCAAACCCTAGTGCTTAATGGTGGAAGAAAAGGGACCTTGGAGCTATTGATTGGTCTGCCAGATGACCAGACCAGATTCAAGTCGGTCAGGTATATTTTTCCGCCATATCAGGCATGCATGACAAGACATAAGCTTTCACTTCGATGGTGCTGCAGCTACTTGACTAGATTATAACGCGATTAAAATTGCATATAAGTCTGTACAATGAGAGGTTTCAGATGCACTCGGGTGGGGGTCAAATTACCGCCAAAGGGTTTTTCCGGATTGGTTTCCGAGCTTTGCCATATTTTGCCTACCTGTACTTTGCCCAAATTTTGCATAGGTGTAGGAAATTTAATAGGGGATCGTTTGGCATCAAAACAATTAGACGCACCTTGTGAGGTCGCTGGCCTGTGGCTGACCTAAGGTCAGGCCATGGTTTCAGTGAAGGTGATTTTTAGGGATTCGTTCAATATGATCCGACAGCGAATGGCTGGACGAAGTCATGCACCCCCGCGATACTTCCTTAGGCAACAAAACACTTGAATGAACAAATTACGTTGACCTAAGGTCAGGTAAAAAGGTCAGACCTAAGTCCAAATCAACCTGATTTATTGCTCTTGGGCTTCCTGTATGGGGTAGTTTCTGATGTTTCTTCGAATTCATTGACAACAGGAACCGCATTATTCACCTTTCATGGACTTCTTAAAGATCAGAATAGGTCACTAATCTAAAATGACACGGGTCAACATTTTGTTTTAAAAGCATACTGTCTGGCATCATCTTTGTCCTTTATCCAAATGCAAAGCTTAAAGCGATCTTGCATGATTTTGGTCATCATGACCTTTTAAAGGTCAGACGAGGTCACCGACCTTAGTTGGGCGTGACACTTTGTGCTTAGAACAGCTATCAAGGTTCCAGGAGCCCTTTGGAGACCAATCTTGAATATGACTTTGTTTGACGTCATTTGACACAAAGGTCACAACCTAGGAACCTCAAACTTGGACCCAAGTGATTTCACGAACAAGTTAACACACCCTATAAATTTGGTTCTCTAGCTCTTCCACTTCGTGATATCTCGGGAGGGAAGGGTCAAATTGACCCCCACCCGAGCAAAGGGTATTCAACTGGCCAGCCGGGCGCGTTTTAACTAGGACAGACGTATACATAATCAAATGGCCTACTTCCTATTTAGACGTAAATGCACAAATCTATCCAACCTGTGCGGGTTCCCGCGATGTTAACGAGCTCCGCTCCCTGTCCCCCGAATGTGCGGATCGATCAGTTTGCTTGGATCCATTGCAACAGACCCTCTAGCGAGGAACTTTCCAGACAGTAAACATAAGGCGTCCTAGCCCGCAGCAGACTCGATGCTTCAGCCAGGCGCCGGGAGGAGGGGGGGGGGGGGGGGGATCGGCCCGCGCGGCGGGCACATATGTACCCCCCCCCCCCTGCCGTCCTTGCCGGCAGCGCACTCGACGGTCCAGCCAGGCCCCGGGCCCGCGCGGCACCCACACAGCACGAACGGCACGCTGAAGAAGCCGTAGGAGAAGACGGCTGCGGCGAAGCGCAGGCCGGTGTAGACGCCGTAGCTGGGCGCCAAGGCCGCGGCCGTGCCCACGATGGTGGTGAGGACGACGCCGGCCATCAGCGTCACCACCCGGCCCCACCTGTAAGGGATGGCGCCTGACACAACCGTGACCGCAATTCCAACCGCATTCCGCGTGACCGCCTGGGTCACGCGGAATGCTAGTGTGACGTGACATGCATATTGTAGCACGTGATGCAGTTGTTGCACTTTGTTGTTTTTTTTAAAGATGTTATCCCAGTCTTTTAAATGGACGGATTTCTGCGATCGGAGCTCACTTTGAGCAGTGCTTGTGCGCACCCAGATATTTAACATTCGATCGCGCAATTCCAGGTCGGTGGCATAACCTGGTGGCGAAAGCTTAACGTGCAACAATGTTTGACACGGTCCGTTTCGCCCTCCGATGTCCTCTGATTTTTATCGCGGCCGCTACCACCAGCCACAGGCCATTTCCGTCAAGAGCAAAAAGCAGACGCCTAAAGCGACTCAAACCCACCCCTCCACGGTGTGTGGATGGGAATGCCGGCACTAACCAACTGAGCCATCGGGACAGACAAGTTTCAGTCCTGAGTTGACGTTATAGACGGACGAAAAGCAGAGAGGTCAAAGAAGGCGACCGAAATAAGCCCGCACTTTAAAGCTCTCTGAAACTGCAAAACGTTTGAGCAAATCAATCACGTTTTTCTGCAAACGAAAGAGATGTAACGCAAACTGCACTGCCATTGCCGAGAGCCGACAATGTCTATGCCACTGAAGCAAAAAGGCCCCAATCGGGCTCCATTCAGCCCTGCCTCACCCCACCGGCCGTGTAGGTTGTGCTGACCTGTCAGCGACGACTCCTGTCAGTATGGACCCGACAGCCACACCAACGAAAAATAGGCTGGCGCCGAGCGGCCGCAGCGGCTCACTGTCGCATACGAGGTCAAACTGCGCGAGAGAACACCTTGTCATGCGGTGCTACAACGAACATTGCATATGCCCTGTCGGTGCGGTAACAGATGACTTTACATTATGAGCTTCGCAATTTCCCCTATGGTGGCCACACTGATAACATGCTGCTGGCTGATGCCGGCATACAGGCGACAGTGCTTTTTCTTATCGCTTAATAACAAGCATGGCTACAAATACACGCTACAAGTTCGCCCCCTCCCTCATGTCTTCAGAAGTAGCGCATTTGTTTTGTAATTGACGCATTTATTTTGAAGTCAACCTGCTTATTGCTGTAATACTGGGATAACATTTGACATGACGTCATCCAATTTCTGCAACATTGCGCTTTACTTAAACAGCATTGCACAACTCACGCATGCTTGACACAAGCTGTTGTGGCATAACAATTCACCTTTAGAAGAAATGTAAATGAATTTGGCGACTATTTATAACCTTTCTGTCAAGAGATTAGATGAACGTGATGACATATTTCATCGTAGATCCAAGGTGTCGAAAGTACTACGTGCGTGTCCACTCATCATTCCACATGTCAGAGCATTCTTTTATATACTTTCGACAGGAGCCTGAGCCCCACTTCCAATTCTGACTTGAGCCCCTCCCCTCCTCAATTCTACTTCGAGTCTCCTTAATCCATTTCAGGAAAATGAGAATACTGGACCAAAGAAAGGGAGCAAATTTCTATTTTATCTGTTTGTCATCACTACTGTTCAGTTGGACTAAATAGTACCTCGTAGGCACATGACGTCATTGTTAGGCTTACTTCTCGATACGTTAGGTCAGTCTGCAAACATTTGACAAGTTTTCACAGGTTGACACCCGGATTACGATCCAGAACAAATGACTGGCACATGCAGTGGCTTTTAAAAGTACAAGGAGGCCCAGAAAGGAGTTAACCCATGCTTCCCTCAACAGTGACAAGTGTATGTGTTCCAAAATCGTGAGTTTCGTGGCATTCGACTGTCAGTTGAAGGGCAAAACACATGCAGCGATAACAATAGCGAGACAACGAATCGCACGCAGCTTATGCTCTCGGTTAAGGGGCCCTAATCTGTGTCAAGTAGGCCCTTTGCTGGCTTTGAAGGCCTCAGTAATGAACAAGGAGCCCCCTGTTCCAGAAAATGAACACCCTTTTAAATCAGGAAAAGACTATTCTGAAACAGGAGATCCCTTCATGTGTCAAAAGACCGTTACTTCAGATCGGAATCCCTTGTTTCGGAATAATGAGCCCGCTTGTGTCCCTTGGAGGTCCTCTTTGTGACCTCCAAGATATGAATGAGCCGAATAGATCCTGTGCTAAATAAGAAGCCCTTCCACGCATAAGAAGGCCTTTTCTGGAACAGAAGGCCTTATTTTTGGCAGGGCATGTCATTTGCTGGATAGGAAATCTCCCTCAAATAATCAGCAGGTCTCCATTCTGAATTGTTTTCATTGCCAGCATGACATTGCCCGGGAGGCTCAACTGTGATGAGATCCCATTTGTCCAGGAGCCTCCCTGGAAATTTCTACCCGACCTGAAACTCAAAGCCTGCGTCGCCGTCCCTGTGCTGAGCATTTTATGGGTGCTGTCCCAGCTCCTCTCAAGACCTTGCGCCCCTCGCACTCGACACCTTTTCATTTCTCGAGTTGGGTCGAAGTTCATGGTTCGTCACCCCCTGACCCGCAGCCGGCGTTATCTTTAACCACTTGCAGGCATCCACACCTAGCTGTGGTTCAATGTACAGCGAGCAGAGATAGCATAACATTTACGCCATGCATGCTGGGCATGAGGTGTCGCATTTTGTGAGAGGGATGACTGCTAAAATGAATGAAATAAAGTGTTAAACCAGTACATATTCAAGCGCATTTTCAGAAGCATCCCTCCAGCTAAACACGGCCATCTTTAGGTCTTGGCTAGCCGCTGCCATTGCTTCAGCCTTGTAGAAATTGATTGAAGGCCTCTGCAATTGGCGTGTCACATTTCAAATATGTGTGCGCTGATATCGAGATAGTTTTGAGCTTGAACTAAAAATGTGGTGGCATTGCTGCAGGGCAGCACTTGTTGCCGGCAGTGCTGAACAATGACATCTTGCTGTGGTAACGTTCGCTCTTTATACGATGCTTCTTCCAACAACAAAAAACATACAACTACACCGAAATACCTTTGGGAGACTTAGTCGCCTTGGTGTGACATAGCCATGGACAGATAGCAAATGACTGTGTTTGCTTTTCTTGGTGAGAGAGCGTTCATTTGCGTAAAAATTTAACGGCATGTGTAGACAGGTAGATCAACTGTCCCATTTGGCCGGTAAGATCAGTGTTCTAAGATTTCTCCCCAACAGCTGAGATGTTCTATTTGAGTTGGTTATTTCCGAAAAAATTATTTTATTGTACTCCCTGCTCACCAACGTCAAAAACTGTCCTTCCCTCAACCAGCTAATAACAAATCGCGTTTCAGCACAGCTTGAGCAAAAATCGACCCTGCTGCAGGAAATCGGAAAATACTTTGTCCAAGGGCCTTCAATGAGGGAGCGATATAAACAGCGCCTCCCGTGCCCCTATCGCTCGGCGCCTACTCGCCTCTGAGACGATGGTGCTCTCCATGACGGACGTGTCGTACACCCACTGACTGCAGCCGACGCTCTGCCGACCGAAGCCCTCCGGGTGACAACCGGCTGTCACATTATCGCGTTTGTGCACATCACAGCGGCTCCACTGGTGCTCCTCGTCCGGCGGCGTGCTGAACGTCAGGAAGTCGGCGCTGTAGGTGGCGTTGCGGCCGTCCTCACAGCCCTCCACCAGACATCTGCGGCAGCCAGCCCAGGGTCGCTGCATCGGCTCGTAAGAGGCCGATCTCGGCCTTGGAGCCCGATGACCTGGCTTGGTCGTAATGGCTGACAGACATTACCGTTGACTCCCTGCAAGCAGTGCTGGGACTCACAAGTGTTGGAACAAATGGCTTGATATAGCAGACTCCGAGTCTTGTTTCGTATTATGAGTTTGTATCTACGTGGTCCTAAGCTCCAAAGGTATTGTGGCATGCGTTAAGATTATTTTATGTTTCGTAACACACTTGCATCATCCAGTGTGCTCAGGGCTTTTTTAAAATGTTAAAAGGAGTGTTCCACATTTAAATGAGGTTTTGAGCTGAAATAAGCATCTTGAAGACCTTTCGGTGCTGTTCAAAACCCTACTCTTCTTAAGACCTAAGCCCATCCAGTTTTTGAAACCCGCGCCCGTGAAAATGGAGAAAGGTTTGTCGAGGAGAGAAAGTTCAAAGTCACCTTGGCATTCATATTCAAATCCTGCCATTCAATAAGCCATGCGGCAATCAAGGCCAAAAAATATATGTCGAAGCTTACATATTTGACGTTCGTAAGCACGATTTCCAGATAAAAGGTCGTTGATTGGCTATTAATCGTTGTTGTGCAAGGCGCGATGACGTAATCAAACCATGACGGATTGAGAAGCGTAGTTACTCAGAAGAAGACTGTGCCCTCTAGAGTGACCTTTCCTGCTTAAAAAGTATGCTAATTATATGAGCAGCTGGGTTTGTTCATTTAAGTGAGCATGCTTTATCATATCTGATGCTGAATTGGATATTTTCGAATTTTGAGCATCCCTTTAAGTGCAATGGAAAATACTAAGCCCCATTGACCAGATACTTCGCTCACCATTCCGCTTCCTCTACACACTGCCGTCCTAGCCCAGTTCTAGCCCCTACCTAGCCCCATCTCATAGCGCGGCCAGTTCCCTGCATTTTTTTTTGTAGTTTTTTCAACCAAGCGCCACAAATGGAGCAAACCTGAACAGGAATCTGAATGTTGGAAGACGCTGGGGAAATCCATTTTTGAGACTCGTCACATTGCCGGAAATGCTCCCACCTAAAATTGATTGTAAAAAAGCTGATCACGTTGTTACGACTGCACGTTTGAATTGCTCCTCGAACGTCCATAACGACGCGCCTCCCCCACCCGCTCCTCACCACAAGCTGACCAGCATCCGCCAGACTACCATCCCCACCAACTCTGGCCACCCGGCGGCGCACGGCTCGTACCTGTGCTCCATGGGGAAGGCCGTCCACGAGTAGCCGACTGTGATGGTCGCCGCAAAGATGGACGGCAAGCAGGCGAAGAAGTACACCACCTTCTGGTAGCGGCCCCAGCCGTTCACCCGCTCCAGCACCTCCTCCACGTCCATGTCGTGCCGAGCCGCCGCTGTCCACGGCGCTGCCGAACAGGGATGGGGCCGCTGGGATCCGTGCAAGTGCGCGCGCTGCCCCGTGTGAGGCCTATTTCATCCGAAATGAACGGCATTGTTATACATTTCAGCTTGTCAATTTTAGAAACTATACACCCACACGCGAGGCAAATGTTATGTAGCTAAAATATCATGTTATGCACACTTTCTTCATTCATTATTCGGGTCACCGAAAGTGAGACGAATCGGGCGCGACGGAGGAAGGGGGAAGCGTATGCCATGGCACTTAAATCAATGGTTGGCAGGTAGACTGATATCTTGCGGCATGATGTCACAATTCAAACGACATTTCCCCGATTTTTTGCATCATTTTTGGACCATGAAATTGTTGCTGGGTAATATATTCAAAGTTGGCAATTTCCCTCTTGTGCTTCAATTATTTGTGATATGCTTAAAGTGGAAGATTCACTTATACATAACCAGCAAACTGAAGAGGAAGGAGCCTGTTAAAAATCCCCGGATGAAAATTGAAGATGGCTTCCTGAAATTGTCCTTCAATCCGCCTTCGTAACCCATGATCCACCGATGTAGTGTATATCTATATATATATATATATATATATATATATATATATATATATATATATAGATAGATAGATAGATAGATAGATAGATAGATAGATATATATATATATATATATATATATATATATATATATACACACATATGTGTGTGTGTATATGCATGTATGTATGTATGCATGTATGCATGTATGTATGCATGTATGCATGTGTGTATGTATGTGTGTGTGTGTGTGTGTGTGTGTGTGTGTGTGTGTGTGTGTGTGTGTGTGTGTGTGTGTGTGTGTGTGTGTGTGTGTGTGTGTGTGTGGTGTGTGTGTGTGTGTGTGTGTGTGTGTGTGTGTGTGTGTGTGTGTGTGTGTGTGTGTGTGTGTGTGTGTGTGTGTGTGTGTGTGTGTGTGTGTGTGTGTGTGTGTGTTTAGAGGCAAGCACACAGCTGGGAGATCTAGCAGCTAGATATGATAGCCCTATCGAAGAAGCAACCATTTGCTACTTACGGTAGCCCTATCGAAGAAGCAACCATTTGCTACTTACGGCACCAACACCAATGCCGACTCGTGTTCGCACAATCCTCCTCGCGTATATTCTGGATCCCTCTTTGGAAAACGGAAGCATTCAACAAATCTGCTTAATGGTCAACTATGACATATTTAAGGATGACAGAACCTGTGCAGGTCAGACATCGGCTAACATTAGTAAGAAGTAATCTGCCGGGCACATGTCTGTAAAAAAAAACAGACAAAAAAACAGTGATTTGCATTGCCTTGCTTCCCACGATGTCCCAAGACGCACCATCAAGGCGATAGATTATGCGCGGTGCCAGCAAATGAAATAGAGGTAAATGCAGGACTCCAAAATTTTGTGAGAAGATGTTAAGTTGACAATCAGAAAGTTCTCTGAAACTCGGCATTCCAGCTGGAATGGTTCGGGAATGGGATGGAACCATACATAAGCAGCAGTGAATCCACCTCCAGCGTGGAAAGGGTAAGGTTTGACGGGTTTTGTTATTGTATGTCTGAGCGCTTGTCAATGATATACGTCGTATGGTTTTTGTTAGGAATTGATAGACTACATGGACGGCATGCAGTCTCTGACAATTGCAGGTCCATGACTTATTGTGTTTAGGATTTTACACAAACTAGATGATACAACTGTGCCTTTTTATTTCATTGGTTGTATGTTACCATTAACAATAAGCTCACCTGATCGCGTAAAAGTGAAGCTCCCGATGTGTCCTGGTGCTTGAGTGACCGCAGCTCTAACAGGGGCTCACGACGTGTCCTGGTGCTGGGGAGACCGCAGCTCTAACAGGAGCTCCCGACGTGTCCTGGTGCTTGAGTGACCGCAGTTCTAACAGGAGCTCCCGACGTCTTCTGCTGCTCAAGTGACCGTAGCTCTGACAAGAGCTCCTGACGTGTCCTGGTGCTTGAGTGACCGCAGATCTAACAGGAGCTCCCGACGTGTTTTTGTGCTTGAGTGACCGCAGTTCTAACAGGAGCCCCCGACGTGTTCTGCTGCTTGAGAGATCACAGTGCAAACTGATAGGCCCGACGGGCCTGTGAGTCCACCGCACACGGCTTCAGACGATACAGCAGTGGGTCTAGATACGGTATAAGTGGAGCGATTTGAGATGTCAATGTGCGCGGGCATGGTCTAAATGCGTGCCACTCTTGCAGCAAGGTTTCGCCAAGTGGACGTGGGGGGGCGAGTATCCCCGCTCCATTGGCCATGGGACGAGGAAAGCATAAACATAAGTGACAAATTTCAGCGTATGCATATAAGTTTTTCTGGATTAGTATGGACCGAAATATTTATCCTGAACTGTTCATCCCATTCCCTCAGATATGATAACCACTGAATTGCAGCCTCTCTCTCCTAAAATTTTCTTTAAAGACGTTTTCAGCTTAATGTGAAGGTTGGTTGGGTAGATTATCAAACCACAACGTTTTAAGCTGTGTTTATTATCACGAGTGATCAGAAGCGCAGCTCAGGGGCGTAGTCAGGGGTCTGCCCAGGAAAGGGCCAAACGGGTTATAGGGAGTTCATTCAGCCAAGGGGTCATCTTCATCGCTATAGGAGTGCTACTTTCATTGAGACGAACTTTTTATGTCCAGGACTCCATTTGTTGCCTCAGGGGTCCGTTTTAGGTCGTTTTAGAAGCCTCGCGAGCGTTTAAAACTACCAAACGAATGAGCCGTTGGCCGTAAGGGGCCCCTACCACCTTCACGCAGTGACCATTGCCCTAAATGCCCCCAACCCTGCCCTTCCCCTTTTGGATACGCCAATGGCACAGCTTAGAACTTCGGCTATTGAATATTTAGCCAAGGGTTTCTTGATAACATCGTTTGACCAGTGTCTCTTTGCGTATTTAAATTTGATCAATTTCAGCATAAATCCACTGAATTCAAAACGCCGAAAAAACAGTAGTTCATAAATCATCTTATTGTGATTTTCCAAGCTATTCATGCACCAAGACCTGACTTTGCGACGTTATGCTTGACCCTGAATAACAGCTTTCGATTTACATTAGATTGGCTGAAACATCCATATCTATGTCATCATCATATTTGCAAAGATTCACTCAGGACACGTGAGCCAGGTTGACTTTGTACCTTCAGACGGCTGCCTGGCGCGTAATCTCAAGAGCCCGGCGGCCGCAGAGCGCGAGGGGCGTTGGATGCCAGCGTGACGACGTTCAACCTTGTGCGTCCGCCAGCAAATGGTGCTGCATTTAAGCACACTTACATAAACATAGATGAGCTCTGTTCGGACACCCATAATTTTTGTGGACGAATGAAAGCTTTTGGAGACAGAGGGCGTGCCTGTGGCCGGTTTGGTACAGCGTCGGACACTCCCACCGATGCGTGGCAGACATGCGTGTTATATTCCAGAAATCGTGCTTAGGGGGTTCGTCGCAGACGTTCAGAGGGCCGCCGGCTGAAATGATCAAATCGGACAAGGGGCTGCTGTGTCACGATAGTGCCTAGCACTTTGGCCCCGGCCCGACGGAGCCATGTTGACACCATGGCCCGACGTGGGTGCCCGACCTGACCCCGTCCTACTGACCTTTTGATCTAAGGCAGGTAGAGGGTATTGGAGTGGGTAACGTACGGCCCCGTTTCCGGTAGCTCCTGCACTGATAGGCTTAGTGGTGGCGACATGACCGATGCAAAGATCATCGTCTAAGCCCTCCAACCCTCCTTTTCCTGTGTTTTTTGGTCAATCTGTGACGTCTGAGCCCATGCTAGGTCGATTGGGTCACAGGTGCTTTATATCGCTTTATAACGCAAACAGTTCTGCTACATCCATCGGATAAACGTAATTTGAGCTGTTTGACAACACTTCAGGTAGGCATCGCTTGGAATGCATGTAGCTGAATCCGGACAGATCAAGGTGAGTTTTGCTCATAAGGACCAATATCTCCCCTATCTGCCGAATGGTAACCACCCACGTCGCGTTCAGACGATGTCATATTTGGCACAAAATGATAAGCTGTGTCATAGCACATTTAATTGACGAAGCAATATATGCATAGAATGCTACAATATATCACAATAAACACCATAATGCAGATCTCACGCAGTGACGGCTGCACGAGCTGCACTCCATTTGCACTAGACTCATATTGCAATTCCAATCATAGGTCACAGACGATGACAGTGCGGGTTGGATGCTGCGTGCAGACACTAGTGTGTCAAGGTCGTGACCTAGCCTGACCCTTGACAGATCGGTGCCGTTTCCATGCAAGTGTCCATTAGGAAAGCTAATTGAAGCATGCACAATGACCATAAAGATAGTCCACACCAAGTGCCGTGGGAACGACCTGTGCCTAGCGGTACTGATATTAGCCTGTCTAACATTGATATATCCAGCGTGACTGCCACAGACACCTATAACAACTGCTGGCATTCTGTTCGTCAAAATGACGGTGATAAGACGAATCGTGCTAAAACATTCTTACGAGTGTAGGTGCCATGAACTATGTATAAAAGGAGACGTGGTGTGTGTGTGTGGTGGTGTGTGTGTGTGTGTGTGTGTGTGTGTGTGTGTGTGTGTGTGTGTGTGTGTGTGTGTGTGTGTGTGTGTGTGTGTGTGTGTGTGTGTGTGTGTGTGTGTGTGTGTGTGTGTGTGTGTGTGTGTGTGTGTGTGTGTGTGTGTGTGTGTGTGTGTGTGTGGTGTGTGTGTGTGTGTGTGTGTGTGTGTGTGTGTGTGGTGTGTGTGTGTGTGTTGTGTGTGTGTGTGTGTGTGGTGTGTGTGTGGTGTGTGTGTGTGTGTGTGTGTGTGTGTGTGTGTGTGGTGTGTGTGTGTGTGTGTGTGTGTGTGTGTGTGTGTGTGTGTGGTGTGTGTGGTGTGTGTGTGTGTGTGTGTGTGTGTGTGTGTGTGTGTGGTGTGTGTGTGTGTGTGTGTGTGTGTGTGTGTGTGTGTGTGTGTGTGTGTGTGTGTGTGTGTGTGTGTGTGTGTGTGTGTGTGTGTGTGTGTGTGTGTGTGTGTGTGTGGTGTGGTGTGTGTGTGTGTGTGTGTGTGTGTGTGTGTGTGTGTGTGTGTGGTGTGTGTGTGTGTGTGTGTGTGTGTGTGTGTGTGTGTGTGTGTGTGTTCATACGTGACGCAGCCTAACCTCTGATTGCCTGAACCGACATGCTCGGACAAAATTAGACTTCTCATTGCACGCGGTATTCGATTTGCACGCGGTATTCGCGCGGTGTTCGCGCGGTATTGTTGCACGCGGTATTCGCGATGTCGGTATTCGATTATATTTTCAAGACCAACAAGTAATGCGTCTCAATTAGCAACAAGCAAACTGCATGGTCAATTTGTCGAGAAGCCTGGCTGGTATAACCTTAACAGCTGAGTCATAGGACACGACGTGTTTAAACAAAGGCACTAAAAATGGGACAGGATCTCCAAAAATGTCAAAGAATCAATCCACCACCAAACGAAATTAGCAAGATGCCACAATTTATTACCAAGTTATGCAAGAGCACCATCCGGGAGTTTGCGGCCACACACACGCACACACACACACACACACACACAACACACACACACACACACACACACACACACACACACACACACACACACACACACACACACACACACCACACGCACACACACACACACACACACACACACACACACACACACACACGTACACACACACACACACACACACATCATACTCACGCAGCCAGCCATCCCTGATCCAATTGTCAAGTTCTGCCTCGTACTCGGCGCGCGCCTCTGCCAGCACCGGGTACTTATCCACTGCGCTCAGCAGCTCACTCGGCGCGCTGCACCCGGCCCACTTTCACAACATCACTCAGTGCAGCAAAACGGGGTCGAATGTCACGCAGAAGTTCTCCTTTTCAACCCCCCGTTTCCCATTCTGCTGCGGCTCCTCGGCGGCGGCAACACACGCGGCGCCCACTTCTTCGCAGACAAACTGCACGTCAGAGGGCGAGCGGACAGTCACTCCCCCTAGAGCCCGGACAGCGCCCATCCCCATTATCTCACTAAACCCGAGGGGCTTTTCCCTGACCACCAGGGCGCCCACCACCACTGCCCGGCAGCCTGCCACAGCGTGCTGAATGTCCCCAGTGCCCGCACACTCCAGCTGGTGGCCGCTTACAGTCACGACGTGCACTGTTCGCCTCCGCCACCGACGGCACACGGACCCGTGCACTGGTGGCGCACGTACTGGCCGTGGCCGACGACAAGACAGCGGCCTCCGAGCTGCTGCCGGCGCTCCTCAAGCGCGCGCTCCGCGAGAAGGCTGCACTGCACTGGCGGACGGAGCGCGGTCGTCTGGCTGGTGGCGCCGCGCTCGACTGCATGACGATGACGCTGCTGCGCCAGGGTGGTCACGTGATCGACTCGCTCGCTGCCGTCACCTGGCTCGACCGTCAGCGCAACGGGCGCGGCGGATTCGTCTCGACGCAGGACACAGTGGTGGCGCTGGCGGCGCTAGTGGCGGCCGAGACCGAGGCCAGCCGGCGGCTAAAGGCGGCCGCCCTAGAGGTGACCGTCAGGGTGGGCGCCCGACAAACTCCGCGGCGCTTCACCGTGACGTCCGAGAACCGGCTGCTGCACCAGCAGCTGGAGCCGCGGCCGCTGCAGCTGTCTGTCAGCCTGTTCGTCTCCGTCAGCGGCCAGGGCTGCGCGGTGGTGCAGGTCCGTCACGAGGATGGCTCCCGGAGCTCAGCGGGTTGTACAGTTCTTACAGACGTGGAAGCGTATTTATTAATTTTATGTTTCAAAATTTCACTGAAACACCAAGCGAATGCTCAGGAGTGACTCCGCATAGCATGTACAGGGTGTAGACTGCAGTTATGTCCTTGACACGATGATGACAATGACATCTGTGTTGTGATGTCCCATGAAACATGCGGTTTTTTCTCTGACTTAAGGGAGA